CTCTCTCGATGCCAAGATAAATTAAAGGTAGTATGAGGCTCGGAAGTCTCTACACATGCAAAAAGATCTCTCTTTTATTTATTATGAAGAACAAAGAGCAAAAACTATGGTGATCAATCATAAAACAGTTACCTTCCTAGCATGGCAAACATGAAACACTTGTAGTAAATTCTTCTACTTACCTAATCCACTAGTAAAACCCCACGAATCGATTAGCTCATGGTGATTGTGGTGATGATCATGGTAGATGTAAAAGTAAAAGACATAATTAAAAGACAAGAATGTAAAGACAAGATATTAAATTGCATGAAAAGTAAAGATATGATCAAAATATGAAGAACTTGAAAAGTAAATAGACTTGTATTAAACTAAAAAGAACTTCTTGTTTATCATGAAATAATATAAAACCCTAATGATACTTCAATTTAAGATTGAGGCATAATGAATTTCGTGGCTCTCCTCTCCTTATATAGGGAGGAGTCCATCTAACCCTAGAACTCCTTGAATATTGCTAGAAAAGAGTTTGTATTTGGTTATATAACTTGTAGGAAGCTTCTGGAGCTGAAATTTGGTGGAGAATTAGATTAAACCACGTGGAAGATTCTGTCAAAATTTTGGGTCGAAATTCCTTCTAGAAATACGAATTCCAAGAAGCCCAATGGGCCCAAAAACTGCTTTAAAAAACTGGGTCTGGTCGGTTTTGATGAGTCTTTTCGTCCTGATTCCATCTATGTTTTCTACGATCTACCTTGACAGTCTTGAAGTAGGATGTGAGAGCTGTCCAATGCCTATTTGTGCTTCAAAATCCGAGCTCTCTAACCCTTTCGTTTAATTGTGTCAAGTTGGCTAGTCAAAACTGCCTTTTTACCGCATTTTGCTTCCTTTTAGCTTTTCCGGGCGAAACGTACCTACAAACACGTAATTCTAACAACAACAAGCATATCATATCACTTTATATCATAACTTGAGACAAACGTACATGAGTTAAGGGGATAATTTTACACTTTTGAGCGCTTATCAATTACTGAGAGTTATCTTTCGACCGATTCTGTTGACTCAACCTTATGTCCAAGACGGATGGGCAAATCCCAGCTCATTTCAAGTTATATTAAAGCCCATAGATCAAAAGATCTAAGGAAGTCCAATAAAGCCCAATGCTTGCAGCCCAATTTTAAAAGCCTCTATAGGATGATCTAGAACTCTGATTTAGGCAAATAAGCAGTCTATCTAAAGGTTTTGATCCAAAGAACAACTTAATCCCAACAAAAGTTAGTTCCCACGTGGGCTTACTGCCTAAAGAAGTCCCAACAGCAGCAAACAAGAATTTTGACCTAATGTGTGAAGATATTTGGTGAGCAAATGATTCTTTACTTTGTGTGCAAGCAATGTAGTTTCTTAATTGGACTCTTACCTTTTGTACTTTCAATGTAAAGAGGACTTGTAGCTAGGGTTTGACACACTTTGATATCACTTAACCTCCATTGTGAAGACATTATTGTAGTAACTTTTCTCTCATCATAATAATAATATCTTATTGTCTATATTCAATCAATGATGTGTAGTTTTTCTGCTTCTTATTCCATGGTGTTATTATCAAGAATGAGTAGCTAAGTTCCCTTAAAGAGAATGGTTGAAGCACTCTAGATAATGTAGACACCATGGTTGTTTATATATGTTCATTGATTAATGTTCTTAATTCATGTTTATTCTAAGTACTGTAGTAGAAATATACATGATTATTTATGTATGTTCTTTGTATCCATTTTTTTAAGAACTATTACTTAGTGTATTGAGGAGACCTGGTGGTAATTGTACTATTAATATAATTGGAGATATATAAGTGTACAAGGGAGACCTAGCGGTTTCATGTTAATAATTATGTTTTCTTATTGGAATCAGTTTGATTGCTAAAGTGTACTAGGGAGACCTGGCGGTTTAGTATGATAATCACCATATCTTGTTAGAACTAATGAGGTATATATGAGAATATGCATAAAATGGACTCAAGTGTAGTTAGGTGTATTACCGAGAGGGGACGGTTAATTACATGTGTAGTAGTAATTGTGTTGTACTGCCGAGAGGTGGTGATTAAATGACTATGTTGAACATATTTGAATGCCATTATTGTTTACATTGTTTACTTTGTGGATACCTTCCTTTCCCCCTAATTATCATTGAATCTTTTTTCCACATCTACCATCTTCTTTAGTTAGAAGTATAATTAATAGTTTAGTTTAATTATTTGTGGGGATTAGAATCATTCTTCTTTTTTAGTTGATTCATTAGATATCTCTTAATTAGTATTTCTTTATTGTATTTGAGCTAAGAATTTTCTCTTCGAGGTGGGTAAGACCTTTGTTTGTTACTTGTTCTACAATTGACAATCTTCTTAATAGGTATAGTAATACAATTCATCATAAAATTTTCTTCTTTTGATAGGAGATGTCAAAAACCTCTTATCAAAATGGCGTCGTTACCTGTTTAAGGAACATAGTTCATTCAAATACAAGGGAGAATACTCGTTTTGGGATATCCTCCAATTTCTTTACCTCCCACATTTTATTCTGATAAATTTAGATTTTCTTTTAGTAAACATTTTTTAATTAGTCCATTTTTTTTATCCACAAGCGAAGATGGATTGGAAAACTAATTAAGAGTAACGAAGGCTACAAAGCAATTTGAAGTTTGTCGCGCAAAAGGAATAATTTCCTGAAAGTTACTAGAAATACTGTGCAAATTTCGACCAGAACTCGAGTCTAGTTTGTTTTAGGCCATTCTGAACTTGACTCGAAAATATCCTGAATTTGGACAATTTCCTTTGTGGCCCCAAAGTTATTTCCAATCGTTTTCTTCTTCTGTTTTCTGTTGTATTGATTGAAATGAGGCTATAGACAGTAGGTTGGCATAGTTATTTTAATTTTTAAGGACTTGTAATTTAATTTGTTCCACGAAGGGATCACAGGTGTAATATTTATCAAATAAGTGTTGCTTAGGATTTTTATTACTTGTTTTGCTGCGGAAAGTAGAGGAAGGACGTGGAGCTAGAATTGAGTCTACTAGGAACGACTCCTAAGGACGATTGAAACACAAGAGTTGTTGGCTCTTAGTCGACTTCAACTCGTCTTCCCTTTACTTTCGTGCGTTTGTATGAAATTTTATTTTCTAGCACAACGTGAGAGGTAAGCAAAATCCTAACCTTCCTCGAATCCCCTGTCAGAGGAGTTTCTGAAATGATTAGCATGATATTGGATGTTGCTTGTTTTTAATTTAGTTCTTATTTTCTGTTATAACCAGGACTGACGACGGACATGGCCTTTGGAAAGTGAAACAATTAATATCAATTAATTGCAATATCTTAAGCCTTAAAATTGAATCAACTAAAACCATGCTATCAAGATGTTCATTTGATACTTTGATCAGATATTTCAAATAGTACTGTGTGAACTATTCTTTGATTGGCACAGATTCGGAATTGGGCCTTGGAGTCCCTACTGATCATGTCCGTAGAATCACTATGGTTATAGAATTAAGGAACGTTGCTTACACACAGAAAACTCCCACACTAGTTATTCGCTAATTTACTCACAAAATATATGGAGAAATTCACAAAGGGAATTAGGGAAGAACTCATTGACGGGGGTGAACACAAATTTGAGTCAGTTTTGAGGCATTTTTTAGATGTTGAATGGTTAAGATCATTTGTATGATATATGTAACGCACATTATGTATGTTTCTTAGATCTGGTAATATGTACATGCCTGAAACCCTTAGTGTATACACAAGGTGCACAATTACGGACCAAGCACATACTTCCTTACCTTCTCAACTTTACCTACTGCACAAATACATCTTGCACCTATGGCTCAAGAAGTTAGGCTAAGGTTGTTTCCCTTTTCTCTTGAAGGCAAAGCATCTCTATGGCTACATAATCTTCCAGCCAACTCCGTCACTTCTTTGGCATAACAAAGCAAAAAGTTTTTTAAAAAATAATTTCCTATCCAAAAAACCAATGAGTTTGTTAATGCCATCAGTAATTTCTAATAAAAAGAGGGTGAGATTTTCTTTGATGCATGGTAGAGGTTCCAAAACCTATTTATTCAATGTTCACACCATAAAGTTGATGACACAGAAAAAGTCTGAATCATGTATAGAGGTCTCAACTAAGAAACTAGGAACCTTTGTGAAAGCATGAGTGCATTCCTTGACATATCTTGCACCCAGGCTATTGAGCTTTTTGAAAAACTCGATGATAATAGCTAGCAGTGGGATAACGATCACCAAGAAAGAAATACTACCACAAGCACAAACGATAAACCTAGAGGTGTGTATGAGGTGTCCTTTAAACCCACTCCACCGGTCATGAGCGTTACTAATTCCCCTTGTAATGTTTGCCACGATCCATACCATAATGCTGAAGTTTATCCTTCCATGTACACCTTTCCTGGGACCGAGGAAGCCCTGGCGTTCAACTACGCTGGGAAGACAAACTTTGTAAAAGGCAATGCCACCTACCAATATGTGGACTGTTCAAAACTGTCATGCTCGAACAACAATGCCTTCACAGTTCCACCCGAATTTCATAAGTCCCATGGGCAACACAACAATGCACCTTACAATGACACTAGAGTTATGGTGACAGTCCCCAATTATACGCATTACACTCATCGATTTAGTAATTTTAGGGACGTAGTTCCAGTTGACCCAACAAACACAAGTGTCCCTCGAAATGAATGCTCAAGCTATCCAACTGCTAGAACAAAAACTCGATGAGAAGGGCAGATTTCTGGGACAACCCATCCTGAATCCCAAGGGAAAAGAAGTTGCCTTGGTGACGGAGGCCTCGTCTTCGTCTCAACCGTTTGCAGAATTCAAAGTTATTCAAACGCTTAGGTCAGGAAAACAAGTTGACAAGCAAATTAACTACAACCCGAGTACTGGCATAGTGACTCCAGGTAACACGACACTTGTTAACCCACCTAAAGGTCTTGCTAATGTAGTTGGCACCTCAAACTAAAACAACAAAGTGAGATTGTAGCACTACCATGATGTTGACATTTTTGGTTATTACCGTCAACTTTAGCAGTACCAGTAAAGTTGCAAAAACAGGTTAATTCTACCGGTACAACTGGTCAAATAATTTCCCTTTAATGATTCTAACAACTAAACTAATCTTAAAACTAGTATAGAGGCAAGTATCGGGGTATCGAATCCACTCACCCAAGAATTGGGTACTTATCTACAAACAGGAAACAACGATGAAAGATGATATCGTTTATGAAGAGATTGATGAATTGGAGGAGATTGATTGATTGAAAGTAATTATAACTAAGATAATGTAAATGCAAGTAAAGTAAAGCAAGCAATATAAAATAACGGTTGTGAATATGGAAAGAAAAGCGGGGTATTACTTCGTTTCATAGGTAAATATCTAAATCAACAACTCATGCTTGTTTCCCATGTATCCAACTATTCCTTATAGACAAAGCAATAATTGGTAGTGAGTTCCCTTGCTCTCGACCCAGGAACTCGACCTCAAGAAGTATTCAAGACCTAGTACCTATCATCTCGATGCCGTCATGCAAGTAGTGAATTACAACTCTTTATACTATTTGTTAACTATCTTCTCTCTCTCGATGCCAAAATATGTTAACGGGGGTATGAGGCTCGAAAGTCTCTAAACATGTAAAAGATCTCTCTTTTATTTATTATGAACAACAAAGATAAAAAACTATTCTACATGATCAATCATAAAATAATTACCTTTCTTGCATGGAAAACATGTAACGCTTGTAGTAAATTCTTTTACTTACCTAATCAACTTGTAAAACCCAATGAATCGATTAACTCATGATGATTGTGGTGGTGATAATAATGATTGTAGAATTAAAAGACATAATTAAAAGACAAGAATTTAAAGACGGAATTTTAAATTGCATGTAAAGTAAATATATGATTGAAAAGAAAAGAACTTGAACTTGAAAAGTAAATAGACTTGTATTATAATCAATGGAACTTCTTCTTCAACATGAAATAAAGTAAAACCTAATAAGATACTTCAATTTAAGATGAAAGCATAATGAATTTCGTGGCTCTCCTCGCCCCTCCTCATATAGGGAGGAGTCCTTCTAACCCTAGAATTCCTTGAAAATTGCTAGGAAAGAGTTTACAATTTATTAAATAACCTGTAGGAAGCTTCTGGAGCTGAAATTTGGTGAAGATCATATTCAAACCACGTGGAAGAATCAGTCAAAATCTTAAGTCCATATTCCTTCTAAAAACACGATTTCCAAGAAACCCAAGAGGCCAAAAAACAATCAGCAAAAACTGGGTCTGATAAGTTTTGACGAACCTTTTTGACTTGGTTGCATGTCTTTCTTCTGCAACCTTTCTTAACAATCTTGATGTAGAAAGTGAGAGCTTTCCAATGTCTATTTGTGCTTCAAAATCCGAGTTCTCTAACCCATTCGTTTAATTGCGTCAAGTTGGCTACTTGAAACTGCTTTTCTGCCGCATTTTGCTTCCTTTTAGCTTTTCCGGGCGAAACGAACATACAAACACGTAATTCTAATAATACCAAGCATATCATATCACTTTATGTCATAACTTGGGACAAATATACGTGAGTTAAAGGGATATATTTACACTTTTGAAAGCTTATCAAACACCCCCAAACAACACCTTGCTTGTCCTCAAGTAAGAAGGTGAAACAAAAAGCATAAGGGCGAGAAAGAAATTCATTTAAAAAATATTTACCTTTTCGTAGGCAATGTACGATTGCATTTACCGTATGCAACAAGGCCTTAAACCTAATAGGACGAGTTGTAGCCTCGTGAGGGTTTTCTTGGGAAGATACCCACAACTTCAAAGGAAGAGATGGTGATGGACAAATTCAAAAAGTAAACCTTCTTTCAACATAATAAGTTCATGCTTACTCAATCCATTAATATAATCAACACTAGCATATAAGACTATGCTTTATTTCTCAAGATAGAGATAATTCATTAATCACCTTGACATAACTTATAAAAGTGAAATAATGCCTAGTAAAATAAGTCTCATATCAAAAGATATCTCTACTAAATTAACTTCAAAATAGTGCTTTAATCCAATCCTCACCGGGCATACACTCAAAAATAAAAATATAACTCCGAAGAATGTGTGTGTATGTATATGCACCACATATGTGAGGAATAGAAAGAAAAAAGAACGTCTCACACATTGCATAACACATTAAGAAAACAACGGACATTGTATGAGTTAGTCTCTTATGAATGGAATGTTGATTATATATATTGATGTCGGGTATTTCACCCTAGCATTTTCTCATTTACTCGACACTTTTCACTATATATAACCTTAAATCAATTAAACATAAATAAGTTGTAACTTGTCTTAGGTATTAGCTAGTGAAAAGGGATAAAAAGATTTTATGAAATACCGAAAATATCAAGGGTCTTCCAAACTTAACAACTCTTTGAGAACTTTTGTAGAATTTCCTTCTTTACTCATTTCTTCACTTTGATTTGTAACTTGGGGAACTTCTCCATGTTTTCTCTTTTCTCTTGAACTTATATTTCCTTTTTCTTTTTGTATTTTTCTTGTTCAAGAAGGGAGACTAGTATATTGAAACTATATCTTCAAACTTTTTGATATGTACAATAAACTTTCTTTCTTGCTTGGAGACACTTTCTTTACTTTTCCTTGTAAAACTTGTCATCCTTGACATTTTCGGTAAAATAGGTAATGGAAATAATAATATGGGGTTATACACCGGATTGGAGATAGGTAAGGATGTTTGGCTAAAAAAGAAAAAGGTTATATAAAGGCTCGTAGGGGCTCCTAATTGGATAAATACGAAAGGCATGCTAAAAAGGCTATTTTTGGTTTTCTAATGTTTAAAATCATTTTCAAAGTAAAAATGTGGTGAAGTCATCTTGAGATAAACTACAAAACCTAAGTTTATATTACACCCACTTGATTTCATCCTTGTAATCAACTAGAAATATAAAATGAAGAGACTAAGAACGAACTCAAAAATTTAGCAAGAATTGGGACCCACGGGCCCAGATGTACGTAAATACACTTCAAAGAAAGAAACGCTCAAATCTCACTTGGGTTAATAAAAATCTCCACACTATTTTTAGGGTTTCCTAGAAGATCATCATTTTCAACTTGACTTATGCTAATTTACATTATATGCACAAAAATAAGCTAGTCAATGTTTTCATGAATGAAATCTATGTTAAGTAAT